CTAAATATTTTTGCTTGTAACATCTTAGTATTCCAAATTATTTCCTCATAATAAATTTTGGTATAGTAGAAATGCTTCATTAAATAATTTTGAAGATTTTGATTAATATTTCCAAATTGCCCTTCAGAATGTTTGTACCAATTTTTAGTTTCTCTGTGAATATGTATGAGCAAACTCCTTTTCCCACACTCATACTAATCATATTTGTACTCTTTTTAATCAAAATATAATATCTTAGAAATTTTTGTCATTTTAAAGTCTTCTATGGTGGTTTGTAATTTTATAAAAACTTATCTTTGAAATGGAGACCAACTGGTTAGTTTGTTTCCTTTTAGGTTGGTTTTATTTTCTTAATTAATATTATTGATACATTTTAGGTATACAATATGACATGCATCATTGGAAATTTGCACCTTTACATAATCTCTCCTGGTTCTTATTTTTCCCCCATTCCCCTCCCTCTTCAACCTTTCCCTCCCTCCCCATTTACAAAGACTTTGTCTCCATTTTTTCCTTTTATCATATTAATTCCATTCCCTTCTTTCCTTTCCCCTACCCCTCCCACTTCCCCTTCCCCTTTGCCCCTTTTCTTCCTATTTCACATTATCTATTATACCTTTTAGTCCTTATTTACACTTTTAGTTTCTCACACTAGAGAAACAATTCAGTATTTACACATGTGTGTCCTATTTATTTCACTGAAGAGTACCACCTCAATGGGCACCCATTTAGCTATAAATGTCTCTAGTTTCTAATTTTTTATGGCTGAGTAGTACTCCATTTTATTTAAAAAATACATTTTTAAAATCCGTCTCCAGTTGATGGGCAATTGGGCTGCTTCCAAGTTTTCACATTTTCTTTGCATCTAAACAATCATGTAGAAAACACTTTAAAAATGTATTGTCTTTTCTTACTACAAAGCAGCATCCTCACATGATTCTCTGCCTCATTTATCTCAATCTGATGATCTTTCCATTTTCATCTTCTCAAGAGTGCTCCTTAAGCTTCTTACATTTTTTTTCTAGCTGCAGAAGATTCCATTACGTGAATGTTCCATAACTTATTTAACCTGTTCTCTGCAGAAGGACATCTAATTTGTCTCTATCTTTTCTACTCAAAGCAATGCTACATGAAGAGCCTTTTGCAGCTGCCAACTCACATGTGGGTAAGTCTTTTCATAGGACTTGGAATTCAAGGGCTGAGTGGACATGCGTTTGGAAGTTGGGTAGGTACTGCCCAACTGCCTTCCTTAAAGGTTTCTAATATTTTTATTATTCAAAGTGTAAGTCTTTCTAAAGCAGGAATTATATCTTATTTATATTTATTTCCTTGGCCCTAGGAAGTACTTAAGATATGGATGTTGAATTAATTCTTACCTAAAGGAGAAGCTGGAGAAGGACTGAAGGTCAAGTTCCCCTTATTACTGTTAATGAAATATAATGGGCTCCCCACAGCCCTTCTAAAAAATATGGCAAGGAGGACAAAGTAAAAACTCAATGCACAGTGCTCTCTACCCCTTAGAGACCCAGTGAACATGTTCGCTATGTTTTAGAAGAAAAGATTTATTACTAAACTTTAGGTATTAGTTTCAACATCCCTTCTTTGTCAAAAAAGGAAGAATATTTCCACAGTCATCTTATTTGTAATTAAAATGCTGACAAAAATAGCTGTGTTAATATTTTAAAGAATACCAACTTCCTTCTTTTGTACCTAGGAAAGACTGAATCATGGCGGGTCCCGGTGACTAGTTCAGGTTAGTCAGGGACAGGCCTTGGGATGGATGAGTATTTCTCACCACATTTGCCCATTATGCACATAATCCAGCACAGCTATGAATACTAAAACTTTCCAAAGCCTTTTCTGGACAATTTTATCAATCTTCTAAATTTACCAAAAAATTTTATGTGTTCCTTGTAAGTGGTTTCTCAAATAGTTTGTTGCTATCAGAATACATTTAAGGAAAAAGCTTTCAAAAAGATCTTTAAACAAATCCAATTTTTGCCTACAAGTTAGCTTTTCTTTCACAGAAAGCACTTGTTTCAACAGATAGCACTGTAACAACAGTTATACTTTCTCTTTCTTATCCATAATTTGTACAGTGCATACTTTGTGCAAAAGTAAATAGAATCCTTAACTCTTTAACTTCCACCCCAGCAAATGCATTTGTTTAAGTCTTAACTTTGAATCTAGCCCAGAAGGTGGCTAGGTCTCTCTAAGTACATTCACATAGACAACAAATGTATTGCTCTTTCCAATTTTTTTCCTCAACATGCTGGAAAATTATTGGGCTGGGCAGTCTTCATTATTTTCTACTACCAAAATGAAGCTGCAGGGCAGAAGATTTAGCTCAGTGGTTCTACCGCCTGCCTCGCAAGCTCAAGGTCTTGAGTTCAATCCCCCGTACCAAAAAAAGGGAAAAAAATGAAGCTGACAGCATCTCAACATAGAGCTACTCATGTATCTTCAATTAATATTCAGGGAGTAGTGGAATTTTAGTGGAAAAGGAGATGTAGATAGCTCTATCCTCTATGGCTCTATCCTGTAAACTGGTCATGGCCATACTAAGCCTCAGGGTCTTTAATTGTTAAGTATGCACATGGAATTCTTATTTAGATCAAATATTTTCAGGAGCCTTGATAACCCAAACATGATTTAGTGACTCATACTTGATATTTGTGGGACTCTCCAGGTAGTAAATTAGCACACAGATTGAAATATAGTTGTGAAATGAATAATTGAAAAATATATATTATTGAGAAGAAAGGTAGAAGTAGGGTCTAATGATGTACATGAGAAGTAGTGAGGTGCAATGGTGTACATGGCAAGATTTCTTAAACAGGGTGCAGGGATAAATTTGGGTAGTCCATGACCCCTAACATTGTGTGGAAAACTCTGTACCTATACACGTATGCATATTTTCCCAGTAAGCTTCATTTCTGAGATCTCCAAAATGGTCTGAAATCTTCTATCCCAAATTGAAGACACAGGTACCAAATTCAACTAAGTGACTATTCAGATAATAGATCTGTTAACTTCATTCTTTTCTTCTCATCTCTCTCTCTCTTCCTCCCCCAACAGAATCTTTTGGCAGAAAATATTGGAAGCAACTTTTAAATTCTTGATTTTTACCTTTTTATTTCCTAGAAATTCTTTCTATAGCTTTAGATATGGCCTTCCTTGATTTTTCTCCCAATTATTTTGTGGGCATATTAAGCTCTGCTTTTGACATTGCATTATTTCATGCTGCTTGCACTCAAATTTGCATTCCTTACTTCATTTAAAGACTTGACTGAAAACTAAATAAAAATTATTCAAATGGATTCTCTCAGAAGCACTTATTCTGCTGTATTTTAAATTTTTTCCTACTTTAATTTATGTAGATCTTTCTAAACTTGATTAATATTCTTCAGTCACCAAAGTCCTAATTTAATATGCTGAAGGGATTTAGGATCTAGGAATATTATTATAAGAATTATTATCATTACTTGTAGCCAATGGAATTAGTTATCACCTGAAAGATTCTAGCATTCCCAATGTTAATGAAAGGGCAGAGTCTGTCCCAGGTTAGGCAGTCTGACCTCAGCTCTGGCTTTAACCAGTCACAACCATAAGCAAGTGACCCCAGCCCCCTCAGCTTTACTTGAGAAGCCTGCAAAGTCACCTTCAGAAAAGTTTTGTGTTTGCTTTTGCCTGCTAATACCCTTCCTTAGAGGCTTTATCTTTGGTGCTTACTTGTTTCTCATACAATAATGTGCAAGTTTTAAAACATTTTATTGACTTCAAAATGAGCAAATGAAGTTGTTTTTTAATAATAAAGTATTACTACAGCGGTGGGATCTCGGGTAAGGTTTTGAAAAATGTAGTTTAAAGATAATCTCCATCTACTGAGGGCTTCTCTCACTTATTTCTCTCAGTATCTCAGCTAATCAGGCATTACCATCGCTTGTTATAAATGAGGCCTTTTTAAAATCTAAGGCTGGGTCATCATGCTTGTAGTTTACTTTAAAGTTTAAATTAAAGGCAAACCTCATACTCTCAAATCAATATTGAGAAAGTGGGGCTTGAAAAAATTCCTTAGACCAAATTTTTTTCTTTTTCCTTCTCTCCCTCCTTTTCTCTCTCTTTTCTTTTTTTTCTCCCCCTTTTCCTTCTTTCCTTCTTGCTTGCTACAGATACCCTGCCAAGTTGATGAGAACCTTCTCCAAATATGTAGAATGAAAACATATAGGATTACAAAGGAAATCAAATATTTTAAAATATAGTTATCAAAATGCTTTTAAAATGTGTAATAAATGGAATGCTTCTTTATTACAACATTAAAAATCAAGCTTAATGCTTTTAAAAATGTATTTTAAAGTATGTAATAAGATTCTTTTAAAGTATGTAATAAGTGGAATGCTTCTTCATTAAAACATTAAAAATCAAGCATAGCCTGACATGGCACAGGCTTGTAATCTCAACTACTTGTGCGGCTTGGTAGAAGAATCACAATTTCCAAGTGAGGCTGGCAAACTTAGCAAGACCTTGTTGCAAAAAAATAGACAATAAAATAAACTGGGAATATAGCTCACTGGTAGTTCCCATGGGTTTGATCCCCAGTAATGCTTGTAGGGAAGAAGGAAAAAAAACAAGCTCAAAAGATGAGTGTAATATCTAACTCTAATTTCAAAAATAGAGAAAAATATCAATGATACTTCAAAGTATTTGTAAGAACTTGGAAAAGGATATGACAATACTGAATTTCTGTGGGTATCAAAAGTCACAGGTACTACTTTATACCAACCACTGTGGGTTATATACTACATTCAAAAGGAAAAGAAAATTTATATTTCACTTAGATTAAATATATAGAAGTAGAGTCTTTTTTTTCCCTTATCCAATTTCATGGACACCAGAAACCTGGATTTCAGGAATAAAAATCTGCTCATGGGCCTTCCCCTTGTTTCCAGAGAGGAACATCATTTCCTCTCTTTCTGAAGGATGAGATGAGCTCCTCTTACCTTCCAGTGTCTCACATTGGACCAGGTTGACATAGTCCTGCTGGGTCAGAAGGCTGGCCTTCAACCCTCGCACCAGGCCCTCCAGATAGCCATGGTCCACGTTGAAGTGCAGCTCTGCACTCTCCAGCATGGGGAAAGATCGCTGAGATTCCAGCTGAACAACAGCTCTGGAGTCCTGGTCAGCCCCTGTCGACTTGCACCAGTCTGGAAAAAATGCTGGTGGCATAAACAATCAGCTGATAGGGTTTCCATGACTAGTTTTCCCCGGTTTTTGTGGCTTTCAAAACAGTGTGCTCAGACTTGTTTTTATGGCAAGAATGAATCAGCCAGATGACCCAAATAAATCCAGGGCAAAAATCATTCCTGGGAGGAAAGAAGGAGGGAAGGGTCTTCCCTTCTTGAAACACTAGCCCCTTGTGGTTTCACTATTGGGAGCTTCAAATATCTGAATGTTTTGGAAACATTCCCACTCCCACCTGAACTTTCAAGTTACACTTACTCCAAATTTTTGGAGGACTACCAATGTAAACAAAGAGAAGGCTTATGTCAAAATAAAAATATTAGATTATGTAAATAGATCAAAATGAGCAGTTAGGAGAAACCCAAGAAGCTAATTCAACAACACAGTGTATTTGTAAAACAAATAATTAATAATGTTTTAAAATTCCCAATAGTTACTATGTATTTCCTAGCCAGTCTAGGGCAGAGCCCTGTAATTCTCTAGTAAGAATCCACTACCTTTGTAAAATGTGACTATTTGTAATGTGCTCTTCATTTTCTTTTTCCAATTTGAATCTCCTGTTTACTCTGAGATGGGTATCATCAGAGATAATTTTAGTACTAAAATCACAGATAAGCAGTCAGCTTGCAGAAGCTGTGAAGCAGCTCAGACTGCAGAATTGGTAATAAAGTAGGCACTTAATAAAGTAGGAGCTTACTTGTTGAGTTTCACGCTCCAAAAAGGAGTGCTTGTTCTCCTAATATACTTAGCTCAAAAACTGGGTCAAATATTTGAACACTATTGGCATATATGTAGTATTTCACATGCATTGTGTCAAATCCTTTAATTGAAATATAGTGGCAAAAATTGTTCAGGCTCTGTCTCTGGGTTTCCAAACTGGGAGTAGAGAAGATTGACTCAATATACATTCTGTTTCGGTTGTTGAAAAATCACACAGAATCATCTTAGCTTCATGGAGTGCCTGACTTAGGAAATGTTTAATAAATAGCAGAAACTCTTATTTATATGTCATCATTTACCCTTCCCTTGACAATTCCACTATCCTCAAACATCCTTAGTATGTTTTATATTGAATAATTGAGTTCATTTATCATTTTTATTAATGTAAAATAAAAACTCTGCTTTAAAGGAAGAAAGAAAGTAGCTTATTCTGAGCTGGGAGTAACCTGGCCTGGGAACACAGATTCAAGTTATCCTGAATGAATTGTTCCACTTTGGAAAGGGTTCCAGAAACTTTATAGCCACAGAACAAAAGAAAGTCATAAATCAACAAATTTACCAGTTACATTGTGAGGCATATCAGGTAGGTGGGCTACATAGAGGAAGGTGGGATAATCTCTTCTATAGTTTTACATGTTATTTTATAGCGTTTTTAGCTTTAGGAGTGGTGGAAGCTAGAGATCTGCTAAGCTTAATGATACATTCCAAGAATTTTGCCTAGTAGTCACAAGGATGTTAGGTCAGATATGGAGATTGGTAGTAAATGATAAGTAAAAGAGACTAAAGATATTCCAAAATGATTTTGGCTCTCAATCTACAATATTCCATCACTCCACAGTCTCAGTGATAATCCTAACCAGTGTGCAGGATTTGCAGTACAGATGTAGCTTCCTCAGAGACCTTAGTTCATATTTTGATAAGACTAAAGATGGTTGTATGTCAGCTGTCTATATAGGTCAAACTAATATAAACTTATAATTAAATAAATTATAAAAACAAGCATATTTTCCTAATTATTCTATCATAGTTTACTATTGTGTATGTATTTGAAGTTATTATGTCTATTATTTGTAGGGAAGATTTTTTTCTGTTTTGTTGGTAATGCTGGGCATTGAACTCAAGGCTTCATGTATGCTGGGCAAATGCTCTATTGCTGAGCTGCTACCCAGGCCAGTATGGTAAATAGTCCATGAAACAGTGCACTACCTTGTATCTCCTCTTGGCCAACCAAGGTAGAACTATTTACACTGTGAAAATATGCTAATGCAAAAAACTAGGGCTTGATTTATTGTTTGATTGTTCAGTCTTAAAAAACGTTAATAAAAGAAATTAAATTTCAAGGAGTGTAGAGTCTATAGCCATTATATTGTGCATTGCAAAAAGTATTTGAATAAATATTCTTTCATTACTTAAAAAATTGTATTGAATCAGCAAAGAAGCCACTCACATTATGCAGAGCAAGTGAAGTTCTGACTTAGGTCTTCATCATTCCACTTTTCTATTATTCATTAATGTAAATAAAAATAATGACAAACATTCACATGGGAAATATGCTTATTCATCACTTGTAACTGTAGATTGGTAATAGATTAAAGACCAAAACAACTGTGTCTGAATGCAATGGGTTCCCTTCTTGGCGAGGGTGGAGTCAATGAGTACAAACAAAAGATAAAGGAGCCCAGGGAGATTTACTACTAGAAGCAAGTAAAGAAGGCACTAGAGTTAGTTGCAAAGCAATACTTTCCTTGAACAAAGAAAGTGGAAAAAGGCATTTTATTGGGGAAACTTATACATATTTTACGTAAGACAACATATATAGGGGGAAACACTTTCCTGAGTATTCTGTTTAAGCTCATAAACCACATGTTTGGGAAGGAAAGATGGGGACACAAATGCTTCAGAGCAGGGAATTTAATGTTACAGTGAGCATAGTTTGTTCCAGGTCACCCAAAAGGACAAGACAGACTGACTTGCTGAGCTTGGCTAGTTCTTTTTTAGTTTCTCCCAAAAGTCTTAGCTGAAATGAAAAGAAAGAACAATTGAAGGCCTCTTTTAAAGAAGCAGGCAAACTTTCCCCCAGTGTAGAAGTTTAACCCTAAAGCTGCTTGCTCTGCTCAGCAGCTGACACAGCAACAACAAATCAATAAAAGGACGTTGTGAAATCAATTTACCATGTGGAATTTATAATAAAGAATATTATTTTATTGTTATTCGTATCTTGGGTGATAAATGATTTTTGTACCAGTAAAATTTATTATAAACATGCACACACATTTTTGAGAGCCAGTTGTTAAACTTGGACACCATAAGACCTTCACAATTTTTCCTGTGGGTATGCCTGCCCCTCAACATGCTCAAAGCAATAGAATTTTGTTGTTGTTGTGTGTGTGGGTGCAAAATAAGTTTTCAATTTTTCATATTTACATTTATTTATGAAACTAATAGCAGCTTTTTAATTTTCAATTTAAGCTTGTTTCTTTTGTAAATCTTTTTTTGTACCAGGGATCGAACTCAGCATCTTGTACTTATGAGGCAGGTGGCAGCAACACTGAGCTAAATCCCCAGCCCTTCTCTTGTAATACCTTATATCATGGAAAGTTTCTGTTATTTACAAAAATAGAGAATCTAGTATGAATACCTGTTATTCACCTTCAGAAATGATTGATTTTGATAAGGCTTGTTTTTTTTTATACCCTTTCTCATAGTGGACTATCTTAATGCATATGGCAGACACCATATAATTCTGTTTGTAAATACTCTATCTATATTTCTCTATAATATAAGGATTGTTTTTCAAAAATTACAACCATTATGACACTTGCAATTTAACAGAAGTTCCTTAATGTTTATAAGAACAATCATGTATATTAATAGATAAGCTATAATCAAATAGAGCATAAGCTTAATATATATAGGCTTTCATATTTTATATTAATTACCATATTATTCATGTGTAGAGAAAAAGATCCAATGTTCTTTAAGATGACAGAGGCTTACATTTTTTTTTTTTTTTTTTGGTACCAGGGATCGAACTTGGGACCTTGCACTTCCAAGGCAGGCGCCGGAACCACTGAGCTAAATCCCCAGCCCAACAGTATTTTTTTTGGGTACCAGGAATCGAACTTGGGTCCTTGAGCTTATGAGGTAGGAGGCGGAACCACTGAGCTAAATCCCAGCTCCTTACATGTTTTGATCTTATGAAATTGAGGGCTTAGGCAGGCAAAGCACTTCCCCTTCCCTTCACATTAGCCTTTGAGCCTGGCTGAAAAGATGCCTCATTCCTGCTACAGGGATTTGTCAAGCACAGAATCAACTCATGAGAGATAAGAGGTGAAATACAGTGACAATATCTGGAGGATTTTTACAAGTAGGTCCTAATGATAAAAACAAAATAAAATAAATGCATTTCAGTGATTAAACTGAAACTGATGTTTAGGAGAGTGGGCTTTGCAGTAGGACAGGTGTGCGCTGCAGTTGCTTCTCTTTGAGCCCAGTGTTTTCATGACTAAAATGGGAATAGCACTTCCTACCTGGCTATGAAGACTAAATGAGATGAGAGCTTGTTTGGAGGTTCTGGCAGGGGAGCGCAGCTACTTGGATACCCTTGACCAAGGAAACGGTCCTCCTCTATCGGGGTTGGTCGTCCTCTTCCACCGAGGGAGCAACTTCGGGAGGGACGCACATGGAGCAGTGAGGGAGGAAGGGGACCCCCGCCTAGCCAGCCAGGTCAGCCGAATCAACCCTGGCGGTCAATGGGGTGACATGTCGCAGCCAGATCGCCCTCACATCCGAGACTAAATGAGATGAAATCCTTAAAATGCTTAGCACATGTGTGTGCTAAGTACTCCATACAAGGAACTACTGCAGTGGGTGCTCGTCTCCCTCCAGCCTCTAGCAAACCACCCTAACCCTAATCACATAACACTAGATTCAGTCCTTAAGGACCGGTTTACATCTGGTTTTCTCTACACAGTGTGTAGCAGCATAGCTTGCAGGGAACTCAATACCTGTTCTCTGTGTTCACGTGAGTCAGAGCACCACCATGACTTTACTTTACTCTTACAGAATCTTTAATTCCATGTGTCTCTAGGAAACATTACATCTGATAAGTAAATCTAAATACATAGTAAGGGTATTTGGCTTGTAGCATAATAATGTAGGTATACAACTATGGATAGTAAACATCTGGATAGGATATATAGCATTTATTCTGACTTCCTGTCAACTTTAAGAGCTCCCAAACGGTTTTTTTTTTTTTTTT